CAATAAGTATTTGTCGTAGAAAAAGTATAGTGCACCTCGTTTATAAACTTTTCTATACACTCATTAACTTAAGCACTCGCTCGCAAGCTCGCTCGTGCCTAAATTAAATTCGTGTATAAAATGGCGTTTATCAAACTTGATACATAATATACTATTATCTATTTTGCGTTCATAATGACTTCATTATAACACTGCTTTCGGTGTTGTAATGAAATACTTTATCCCACACAAAATTTTGATTTTATTGGCTATACTTTAAACATACTAATAAAATAATATTTTGCATATTGGTTATAATATTTTTATGATTTTTCTAGTACTTACGAGACTTTTCTGGCAATAAATTTTGTTTAACACCAAAGAAAATCTTTTTTTTTTCTTTAACATTAACAGCCGCTTATTGTAAATAAGTAAATTAAGGACGGTATGGCGAATCGATTTTGACATTAACTGTCAAACCAATGATACCAACTATCTAAAGTAAAATTCGACCAAATTAAATTTAAGGTATAAAATTAATTTTTTTTTATAGAATTTTTGCAAAATAGATAAAATAGCATAAAGAACTCATGTCATAAGACCTTTTTACGTCTTATGACATTAGTTCATTAATATAGGTACTATTGTATTTGTGTATTAAGATAATACAATAATTTTTACATTTAGTATTATTTCACAAGAATATACAAGGTTGGTAGCCGGAGTAAGCAAAGAACTAACATACCCACCCCCATTCACGAATACCAATTGAATGGGGTTACTACTAAGGCCTAGGTTGAGGAGGATTCAGGATTGTACTTAGTTTTGGGTTAGTTCAATGTCCTCCAAAAACCCTTCCTAAACTGGACGTAAGGCCCGACCCGGCTGACAAAGTTCCGGGAGCGGCCTTAACCTTTGACACTGTCATCCACGACCTCCTAGGGTGGAACTACCAGCCGGCGTAAAAACTTCGGATCCAACAAACACAGGTAATGCTGTGATTTGGCGGGATACGCAGGAGAACGGAAAGGGGGTAAAAATAACCCCGGGAGATTAGTGGTTGACAATATATCTGGGGCCTGCCATACGTTCCCATACTCATACTCATACTCATAGTATTATTTCACAAAAAGGCCACTTTATTTTAACGATTGTATGACATTTAACAACTGTCAACCAAAGCTCCATTTTTGACGTAATTGTCACCATTAACATTGCCCGCTATTATTTTAATTAAACTTAACAATTATTGATACTGATATGATTATGTTAAGAAAATACGTTATTCTTTGATTTTTTTTTCTGTGTAATTCAAAATTTATCCCTTGAAAATAGACTAACAATCGATATAGAAGCAGTTTTTTACCGTAAAAGAAAAAATGTTTTATGGCCACTGTAACGCTCTATCAGTTAAATCTAGTTAACTGCACTACTACGGCGAAATCAAAAGGTCAGTACAAACGTTCATATAATCTTGTCAAATATTGGCGTCAAGAAATTATTTTAAACTATTTTTGTATTGAGGCAATAAAATAATTTTCACATTTAGTATTATTTAAAAAGAAGGACACTTTATTTTAACGATTGTATGACATTTGACAACTGCCAACTAACTTCAGCCCGTGCCTAAAAACCTGTTGCTAACTTCATATAATCAATTAGATTATTTTAAATTATAGGTACATTAATAAATTAAATATTCCATAATCAGTATTTATTCTACCTGAACTCTCGTGTGCCACTGGTCAAACTTAATACAATTGAAGGGGTTGCCTATTTACCTTTTGAGGTTTTTTAATATCTTTCGTCGCTTTTATAAAGTAAAATCAATATTTTATAAAATTATTGTTTTTTAATTATTTTTATTAATGAAAACAATATTAATTAAAACAAATTCTTATCAAGTGTTTTAACTGTTGAAGGCAGAGAAGCATATCTTTATTTTTATAAAATTGAAATAGAGATCGATTTCTGGTGATTAAATTTCATAAAATTTCTTGTAAATCTAAAAATAAAAAAGTCGTTAGCACCGTTACAGTATCCCTGGAAACCCTAGGTGTGCGTAATTTTTCGATCGGGCCCAACGTGCGGCAGCACTGGCGCGCTGGCTCCGGCGGCGGATCACTTCACGTGGATCTCTACCGGTTGACATTCGATTTAGTGCAGTCGTGCGCCCTCAATATGATAACGACGTTGTAACCAGCCTGCGTGCGTGCGCGAACCGTCATCTCTCGAATTTAAACTTTTTGGCGCGCCGTAAACACGAATTACGAGTTGTATAATTTATAATATACCCGTGAACGTGGGGGGGATGCCTCCGGGTCTCCCCCGACCCCCTTATCCTTTTTCTCAAAACTTGCAAAGCGACCCCTTCTATTATTCGCCCTTCGGCAACCCTTATTTCAGGTGAGACATTTTTTTTAATTAAATATTTATAAACATAAATTGTCGATGTAAAAAACACATGTGCACATGGCTGAAGTGAAACTTCTTTTCGACAATTAAATTAAATTACAAAAATAATAGTATATTATGTATCAAGTACTTAATATTATCTAAAAAATGATTTAAATTAAATATTTGTATAAAGCGACATCTATACGAAAATAAAGTAACCATACCATTAAAATATTAAAATAACTTCAAAATATGATTATGTTAGAATAGTATATTATGTATCAAGTTTGATAAACGCCATTTTATACACGAATTTAATTTACGAGCGAGCTTGCGAGCGAGTGCTTAAATTAATGAGTGTATAGAAAAGTTTATTAACGAGGTGCATACTATACTTTTTCTACGACAAATACTTATTATTATCTTAAAATGACTTAAATAAAATATTTGTATAGAGCGCCATCTATGAAACAATAGGGGAATCTGTGTGTCTCCGTCAAATTTTTACATTTTATAAACTCAATTATAAAGGTTATAAATCGAAATGTATTCCTTGAAAAATTTTACGGTGAAAGTAAAGCAAATGTTTTATGAGCACTTTACAGTGGAGTCCGTGCCCGAATTTAAGTTATAGTTTACTGCCGGCAAAATTAAAAGGTCAGTACAATGTTCATATAAACTTTTCAAATATTGGCGTTGAGAAACTATTTAATACTTTTGTATTTTTGTATTGAAATATTAAAATAATTTTCACATTTAGTATTATTTTACAAGAAAGGCACTTTATTTTAACGATTGTATGTTATTTGACAACTGTCAACTTACTTAAAACTAACTTCAGCCCGTGACTAAAAACCTGTTGCTAACTTTAGCTTGTGACTAAAACGCCATAAAGCCACAACTTGTCAATGTGTATTTAAAAGGTCACTTAGTGTCATGGAAACATGTACGATAATGGGCGTTTTAAAGGTGGGAGTAGAGTATAGGTTATGGCGTTTTAGTCACGGGCTGAAGTTAGTTTTAAGTTAGTTGACAGTTGCCAAATGTCATACAATCGTTAAAATAAAATGCCTTTCTTCTAAAATAATACTAAATCTGAAAATTATTTTATTATCTCAATACAAAAATATAAAAGTATTAAATAGTTTCTCAACGCCAATATTTGAAAAGTTTATATGAACATTGTACTGACCTTTTAATTTCGCCGGCAGTAAACTATAACTTAAATTCGGGCACGGACTCTACGGTAAAGTCTTCATAAAACATTTTCTTTTCTTTCACTGTGAAAAACTGTCAATTTTCAAAATATAAGAAATTTCGATTTATAACCTTTATAATTGTGTTTATAAAATGTAAAAATGTGACATTTGACAGTTTCCCCTATTGTTTCATAGATGGCGCTCTATACAAATTTTTGATATAAATCATTTTAAGATAATAATAAGTATTTGTCGTAGTATGCACCTCGTTTATAAACTTTTCTATACACTCATTAATTTAAGCACTCGCTCGTGCCTAAATTAAATTCGTGTATAAAATGGCGTTTATCAAACTCCAATTGCAAAATATTATCACAAAGTATTAAAAATTCTTACACAGGAAATGTTAAGGGTACAAAAAGTGACATTTGTATTTATTGGAATTCAATTTAGAATTTCCAACTCGGAAATCTACCGGAGTTAAAATCTCAAATTTTTCTGTGTAAATCAAAATGTACCCCTTAAAAATAACAATCGATATAGAAACAGTTTTTTACAGTAAAAGAGAAGAGAATGTGCAATGTACGCAAAATTTTTAACGCTCAGTTAAATCTAGTTAACTGCACTAATACGTCAAAATCAAAAGGTATATATATAATCTTTTCAAATATTGGCGTCAAGAAACTATGTGTAACACTTTTTTTTATTGAGATAATAAAATAATTTTGCAATTTAGTATTATTAGATACTATAATATACTTTATTTTAACGATTTTGAGACATTTGACAACTGTCAACTAACTTAAAACCAACTCCAGCCCGTGACTAAAGCGCCATAAAGCCACAACTTGTCAATGTGTGTCAATGTTTATTTAAAAGCTCTTAAAGGTGGGCGTAGAAAAAATAATTTGTATTGTTTTTTACAGACTAGGATGTAAAAACGTCACAACAACCTAGGAGATAATCGAATACTTGACAATAATAAAGCTGAAATTATAGAACTGTTGAAGTTAACATTATGATTTATAATTCTTACTTTTAAAATCTACAAGTTATATTTAAATTGAATTATTTCTGGTAGTGTTTATTTTACCGTGAAAACGAAATATCAAGACAACTTTGGACTGACCATAGCCAACGTTGCAACGCGTTGTGTTCGTTTTATCCGGGCCACAGCGTAACCTGTTGATATCACCATTATATTTATTAATGCTGGTGTCACTAGGCATTTATCAAAAGAATACGATAAAAAATAGGATTAAATAAATAGCTTAATTACAACTTTTTAAAAAATTTTACTCGCCAATACAATGCCGTAATAATTGACATATTAAGGCAAAACTTTTAAAATGCATTGTATTTTCCTATGATCGTTTTTTTGGTGTCTGGATTTGAAATAATTTTTTTTTCTTTTTTCTTTTACAGATCCTTGCCTGTCGCCAGGCGACATACCCCGTATTTCGGACAACCTGACTACCGAATATACGAACTAAACAAACGGCTCCAGCAGAGGACGGAAGTCAGTATAAATGTAAGTCGATTTTTGAACTAATTTTTATTTATGATAATTATCAATAATAATCGGATAATCGCGAGAGAATTTTTTTGTTTTGTCTTACAAGAAAAAATGTCTAAAATATGTGTAAAGATTCTGGAAAAAGTGCAAAGCATAGCTTTAAGTCCGAAACATCAGCAGCAGTTACTATCGCTCTTTTAAAAAAAGAAAAAAGAAAGAGCGATAGTAACTGCTGCTGATGTTTCGGACTAATATCGTTTCCAATATTTTCTTCTTTTACTCCAGGTTTACATTTATGTTTTTACCGCGGCCACCAACAATACTTGACAAACATTTGAAACATTTTCTCACCACACGCTTTTTTTCTTTTTTAAGTAATGGGTTTATTTTTAGCACTTTTTATAAAATTATTTCCAATTAGAAAAATCAGGCAAATTTAACGTGTTTCTATAAATTTCTTGTTTAGCTGCTTTATATAATAAAATTTCACAACCTTTGCATACAACTTTTGGTAATCGTTCATCTTCTATATCATATACTTATTCAACTTTTTCCAGAATCTTTAAACATTTTTTCTTTTTTTTTAATACAAAATAAACAAATTCTCTCGATTATCTAAGTGAGTCCATGCATGGTTTTTTATTAGCTTAATTGCACTATATACTATAATCAATGCAAATATAATTATTTATATCTAATTTAAAAATAAATCTGCGACAAATTGAATAAAAACGGTAAAATAACGCAACGGTATTTTCAATCACGATTTCGACATGTGACATGTGTCAATAGTTCACTAGTCTAATGAATTGCACATTTTATGTAACAAATACATTAAAAGCTGTTAGTAATTATTTGGAGTTCACTAATTAAAAATCTCAAAAAATTGATTAAAAATCATTAATGTTTTTATAAAAATTGATTTTTCTAAAAAAGTGCCAAGCGAATTGAGTTTATCCTGAAAAAAATTTTTTTCAACATTTAAGAGCATCATTGGAGGAGTGCTATGCGAGGGGTGGTGGACATTTGGACAACATTGTGTTTAAAAAATAAAATCCGCATTTCTGTACTTCCAAAATTTATTAATAAAATTATCCCAACACTTTTTATTCTGTTTTTATAGCATGTTAAAAAAGGAAACTTAGTTAAAGCTTTTTTAATTGTATTTCAGGACAGCGATAACCTTTGGTGGGACGCGTTTGCAACCGAGTTTTTCGAAGACGATGCCTCCCTAACGCTGGCATTTTGTTTGGAAGACGGGCCTAAACGATATAGTAAGTGTTTAAAATTATTATTATAGCCCATTCCATTTAAGAATAAAGTAGATGTCGCTGCAAAACGAGACAGGTTTACACAGGAGTACGCGGCAAATTTAAATATAATGGCGCTTGTCGTTGATTGAATATTTATATGTTACAACAAATATGGACAAATAATAGCAACCCTGAATTTACCATACCATGAAAAAATAATTTACTATACTAATAAGGACCTTTAGAAACCGAAAAATACATGTATTATATTATTTTCAGAAAATAAGAAGAAATAAATATTAATTTGGGCAATATAACCTCAATTATTTAACTGCATCCCTTATTTAAATGTCATAATGTTCATTTTTTTGTTGTGAAAAATAGTACAAATTTATTGTTTTAATAAATGTTTATGATTATATAATATAAAAATTTAGTTATTAACAAATAGACCGAGTTTTATTAAAAATGTAAGAAAAATTAAATGGTAAATGAACGGAAAAAATTAACTTTACTTTGAGTGTAAACATACTCCATGAATTTGAAAAGTGCATTTTTTAATATAAAGTATACATATGTCCGCTTATTACGAAGCCGGTAAAGGGAACTTTCCAAAAATTTGGATTTGGATTTTTTTTACATTTATTCTAAACAACTTACAAACAAACTACTATCATGAAGTCCCTACTTACCCCACTGAAAAAAGTTATTTAAAAAATTAAATCTAGTTTTTTATAAATGCAATTAATGAAGGTTTTATTTAAAAAAAACAAAATTTTACAGAGACAAATCACGTCAAAATGACCTCCCAATTTCCATGGTGCTGATGGATTTTTTTCATTTTTAACAGAATGATAGGGGGCATTATCAATCACAATAACAATGTTCTTTTCTACTTTTGGTAAAACATTTTTTATCCAAGTCTCAAAAACATTTCCATTCATGTCCTCATGATAATTCCCTGTTGACTTTTACTCAAACACATTTAAGCCACCTTCCACAAACCCTGTTTTTGAACCAATATGGGTGGTTACCTTTGCCTGCAGGGTCTTTTAGTCCAGTCGATAACCCCTCATTAAATGCCTCCCTTGCTGTCATTAGTGTACTAATCCTTCCACACCTTTTGCTTTGTGTGGCCTGCATTGATCCAAGTCTCATCCATGTAATATATTTTTTGATTCTGTAATCGGTAACTCCTGATATTATCAATATATTTTCTTCTCCAAATTACTTTTTTACTTTTTTCGACGAGTAAATGATTCCTACGCCTTATTTCATACTTGAAGCCAAGTTTTATTTTAAATTCTCCATAAATTTGTCCGAGATATTGGTGGTAAGTTTATACACAAAACGTTTATTTATCATAAAAACCTATTTATTTAAAGCAAAACCCATTTTTATTATATGACCTACCCCCTATTTTATTTATTATTTACATTTAGGGAACATAGGAAACATATTTCAATAATATAATTACTTACTTGATACATTTTTTTTTAAATTTGGCATTTCATTATTTATAAAAAAAGTTATGAACAACTTTTCTTAGGCGCTTCCTTTGTTCCTCACTCAATTTGTCATATTGACTTGCCCGCTTTATTTTCTTTAATGGGGGTAATAGCCTTTCCGTCATGTTCCATTTGTTAGATGGTGAACCAAATGGTATTTTTTGAAAAACCAGTTTCTTCAGATGTTAATAATGTTTTTTACCATATGTTATGTTATGATGTTAATAATGTTTTTTACCATATTAAAAAGTATTATTCTTTGACCTCGTCCTATATATTGGCCAGATTTGTTTTTTAGGACAGAGGGTTGGTTTTCCACATTGTCCACATTGTTTATATTGTCCATATTATCAATATTGTATCTCAAAAATTTAAAAATATTTTCTTTGGTTATGTTAAGCTATTTTAATGTAATTGAATTACCTGTTTTTCAGTAACAATTTATTAACAACGATTAATAAGTTAAATAACGCCAATAAATCACAGAACATGTAATAAATTAACAAAATATACACTTCATATAATAACAGCTGATGCAACTAAAGCCATTAAAAATCGAATTGAATGCTACGTTGCCAATGTGCGATAAATCCAACCTTTTGAAAAGATAAATTCTTTCTATATTTAAAATATTTTTGACAAATTGACGACAAAAGCTAATATAATATAATTTTATAATTTAAATAATATAAGAACTCTTGCTGGTTTATTGTATATATAATATTATTATGTCAGTTTGTAAATTTGTTTTTAGAAGCTATGGCAACGCTGTATAAGAAAATATTTAGTGTATGAGAACTACGTTATATCAACATCCAACGTATTAAAAAGAGAGGGGTTTTAAACTTTGGCCTGTGTAAAAAAACAACTTTAAGCGTCGTGATTGGTCTATAATAAATCCTATTCAACTCAACGCTCTATTCTTAAATGGAATACACTATAGCAATATTATTGTGTTCCAATGATATATATATAATGATATAAAAGATAACTTTTTAGCATTTATTGTACAATTGTAATGGCTGTATTTAATTTATTTAATTTTTCTTTTAGCTATAGGAAGAACCTTAATACCACGTTACTTTAGGAGTATATTTGAAGGTGGGGTGACTGAACTGTATTATAATATGAAACATCCAAAAGAATCCTTCCACAATACTAGTATTACCCTGGACTGTGATCAGTGCACTATGATAACACATCATGGTAAACCCTTGTTTACTAAGGTAAGATATTTTGTGCGCCATTTTCCGGACACCCGTATGTACTATTTTAGGAACAATAATGTCTTTAATTGCTTAAAAACGGATTTTTTTGTTGAACTATTTAGACGGATATCTTCGGATTTAAAATTTCTGGCAGCACTGCTAAAAAAAATTTTTAGATTGTTTTTTTCGTTTTCTAAATTATTTGAAAATATATTGACTCACAAGCTCACGCTTTTAATCGAAAATAATTATTCTGAGCCTGTAGGGCTAGACCAAAGGATGGTACAATTTTGAAAAACTTTTCATATGCTCATTTTTTGGGTACCCCATTTTGCCCCCTTTCACCTCCCGTCTTCTAATTGTACCATAAAATTAAAAAAAACCAGAAACATTTGAGAGGGTAAGAGCGAAAAAAAAAATTAAATTTTATTTTTTGAAGCACCCTATTACCCCTAACATTGAACTTGGGTGAAAATATTTATTGATTCATTTTTTTATTATTAAAAACATAAATACCTTCCATAAATGTTTACTTTGTAATATAATACCTAGATAATAAAAAAAAATTACTATTTAATAAATAATAAAGATTATAAAATAAAACCAAAATTGTATTTAAAAATATTTGTCTTATTTTTTAAATACTTTTAAAGAATTTTAAATTTTAGACCATGTTCAACTTATTTTTTCTTTTAAATTTTTAAATTATGTGCTTGCTCTTTAAATAGAAACAGTAAGTTTTGGGTAAAGGGCTTAACAAGGTGTTATTGGTACCCGTTAAAGAATAGGTAAAAGAGCATTGCCTTTTAGACACAGGCCTAGTATTCTTATAACTATAATATAATTAATTAAAATTTTACGAGAACAAACACTTAAATAAAATGTCCACCAACTTCAACAAAATTTCTTTGTCCTTTCAGAGGCCTTAAGCCGTAATCTTCGTTTTTCATACCTTCTAATGCTAATTTACTTAAGGCCGTATTACAGCCGGCAATTCTTTCGGCAATTGCAATGAAAATTGCCATAGGCATGCGCGGTTGAGACATTTCGACGAATCTCTTGCAATTGCCGAAAATCGGTCCGGATGGATTTTTATTGCCGTTTCACGGCAATTCTGGGGTGAAATCTGGTAACTTTTATGTTACCAACCCTACTACAAATTCCCTAAAGAGACGCTGTTTGACTAAACAGTTTAAGGTTATTTGTTTTATGATTGACATTTTGTTCGAAGTTATAGTATGTTCCGTAAATACACACGAGTTACCGGTCTGGTTACTGAAATAAATTCCTGGTTTTCTCGGTTAGTTCATATTTACGGGACACCTTTATTTGAAAAAAACATAACCCAACTTACTTTTTTATTGAAACTTTTATTTGTGTCAAAAACTACAACTTGCATATATTTTTAATAATATTTCTATAGTTACATAAACAAACCTAAAAAACCCTATATACTGAATTCAATTATTTTTTGACAAAACGTATTTTGTATGCGAAGTCTGCTCCTGTGTTAAATTTTTAGGTTAGATAACCAACAAAAAACAGTAATTTTGTTTAGGGCAACACTGTTTCCATTTGGTTTGCATCACTGGTAACCGATTTAACCGATCATACAGCGTCGGTCGTGTCGGTAACGATTGATTAACCTATTTTTCAGGAACCGCGTTTCTTAACTACATAATTTTCAGGAATTTTTCATTTACGGGACACCTTAACCGAAACCAAACCAACCAAGTTGATTTACGGAACATACCCTTGGTGTTAACAAAATCGTATATTTTTCTTCGGTTGGTAGCACGGTAATAAACAGCAAGTTGTCTTGCCATTGCTGACTGTAAAACAACATGCAATACGGCCTTGAAAACTTGATGGCAATAATAATTGCTGCAAGAAGAATTGCCGGCTGTAATACGGCCTTTATACCAGAACACATTGCAAACTGCGAACATAACCCAATTGTGTATGTTTTATATTGCCGCAATCTTCTTCAAACCAAGTTTTTGTCAATAATAAGGTTTAGTCATTAGTTTATAAATGTATTTATGTGTATATTTAATAATACATTTTAAAAATGTATTACTCTTATAATGTAATAAACACATATTTAAGTATATGTAAGATAACCTACAAATCTTAACTGTCATTTAAAATTTGCTGTTGCCAAATTGGTTCAAACTTAAATCAGTGGATATGCGTAAGTCAGTTGATATTAATAAATCAACGTTCCTGCATACGACCCATAGTCTTTTTATATAAGGGACCAAAACTGTGATGATGAGGATCTTCATATTAATATTAAGTGCTAAAATTTGGTGAGCACTTTCTATGGTGCCTAAGAACCATTTTTTAGTATCGGAAGTAAAAAAAAATATATTCGATATATTTTTAATCACCCTAGTGCTTACTAATTTATTTTTCGATTTTAGGTGTGTACAGAAGGCCGCTTAATTCTAGAATTTACATTTGACGATTTGATGAGGATAAAATCTTGGCACTTTGCGGTGCGAACCCACAGGGAACTGATACCTCGGTCCGTGGTCGGCATGCATTCGCAGCAGGACCCGGGCATGCTGGATCAATTATCAAAAAATATCACCCGACAAGGCATTACCAACTCTACACTTAATTATCTGAGGGTAAGACTTTTTCCTTGGTTGCTTAGGGCATGCTGGGAAAAAATTAAACAGGACATATTAATTTTTTTTTTGTGCCCCTTTAGTTGGCAGAACAAAAAATTAATATAAAAGTTATATGAATTTAAAAAAAAATATATTTGCTTATTAACAATGTACGGTTGAACGTATATAGGGAATTCCACGTAAATTTGACATAAAAAACCTTGCCATTTCGAAATTTTTATTTTTTTTTGTTTTAATGTTTAAGCGAATACAAGTTTTTTTATTTATATTAGATCGTGGCTATCGAAAAATTAGTAATTTTTTCGGAATTTTAAATTTTAATAATTTTAATTTTTTCCACTTTCGGACATTTTGTAATATCAAAAATGATTTTTTTTTATTTAATCTTTTTATATTTAGCCCTTGGGTATTTCCACGAAACCTTGACAAAAAATCAGATGAGTTATTCAACAAATAAACAACTATATCTGAAGTCAAATAGTTTAATTTCTACGTAATTTATAACCTTAATATATTCGTACATTTTGATGCTAAGAAGACATTAAGAATAAATACGGAGAGTTTCAATACTCGATAATATGTTCAAATGTCGCACCCGTTACATTTTAGAAAATAAAGTATGCAATTTTTGTGCATTTAAAATACGTGCTTGTTTAAGGTTACTATTCAAGTTTTACACCAAAAATTATTACTATATATAGCATATATGCTTTCATCCAAAATTTTACAGTATCAACTTTAGAAGCCAACTTGGTCGCCTTCGCCGATTTTCTAAGGTTATTCATGACGTTATAAAAGGTTTTCTGTACAAGTTTTTATTGACATTTAGTTTGAGTTAAATATCTAATTTTTCATACTATTTTTTTATATTAACGTATCTTGATAATAATTTCGATTTTTTCCACTTTTGGACATTTTGTAATATCAAATTTTTTTTTTTTATTTAATATTGTTTATATTTAGCCCTTTTAACTATTAAAATTGTTTAAAAAAATAAATAGAACACATCAATCATTTTACTATATTCATAGGCAGTCTTCTTTAATATTTCCATTCCACTGTAACGGGTGCGACACTAAAAATGCGTTTTTTCATGATAATAAAGTGTTTGTTCATATATATTATAAAAAAAAGAAGAAAAAATCGAAATTATTAAAATATAAAATTCCGAAAAAATTATTATTTTTTCGATACATACGGTCTAATATAGATAAAAAACTCCGCTTAGAGATTACAAACAAAAAAAATTAAAAATACAGTGTAGAAAATTAATTTTTAGATTAGAAGAATTGCCTAGGAATTTCGAAATGGCAAGGGTTTTTTTTCGTGTCGAATTCAGGTGGAATTCCCCATATACAATTTTTAATTTGTATAATTGTCTTTTCAAAGTTAAAAATTAAATCATTTAAAAAAATTATTTAAATTATATTGAAATTTTATATATAAAATGATTGATGTGTTCTATTTATTTTTTTAAACAATTTTAATAGTTAAAAGGGCTAAATATAAAAAATATTAAATAAAAAAAATTATTTTTGATATTACAAAATATCCAAAAGTGGAAAAAATCGAAATTATTAAAATTTAAAATTCCGAAAAAAATATTTTTTCGATACATACGATCTAATATAGATAAAAAACTTCGCTTAGAGATTAAAAACAAAAAAAAAAAAAAAAATACAGTGTAGAAAATTAATTTTTAGTTTAGAAGAATTGCCTATGTATGGCACGCCGTTTTACTTTTTAATCGGATAAGAAATATTAAGTTAAATATTAAAACTTTAAAAAATAAATTGCACTAAAAAATAATACATCTTAAATATGCTTATATAAGATGTTGAATTATTTATTTAATGTTATTTTTTTGTGTGCAATATTTTTGTGACACATTTATATTTAACTATATACAATTAAAAAGTAAAACGGCGTGCCATAATTTTATGTGTACGCATAATTTAAATTCTAATAAAAAATGATACAATTAAATTTATGTGTACACATAAAATTAATGCACCGAAATTTTATTTTGTAATTAAAATTATGACTTATAAAATTTTTACAATTCTCCACATAAAATTAATTTGGCGCTGCGAAAGTGCGGCCGAAAGTGGCAACTGCAGTAGTTCAAAATTTAATGGTAGGTATGTTTAATTTATCTACGTCATATAATAATAATATAAAACAAGAACCTTCTAGTTTTGTGAATTATATACAAATAAATAATTGCAGTAATTATATAGATAATCTAGCTCACAATTCACTTTGGATTGTGATCTAACCAATGGTTAGAAGCCACCAAGGAAGAAGAAGAAGAAAACGTCAATAGGTGAAAGATTTGTTTGTGGTAGGGTCATGATATGCAGAAAGTCAATTATTTAGTAATTATATAGATAATCTAGCTCACAATTCACTTTGGATTGTGATCTAACCAATGGTTAGAAGCCACCAAGGAAGAAGAAGAAGAAAACGTCAATAGGTGAAAGATTTGTTTGTGGTAGGGTCATGATATGCAGAAAGTCAATTATTTTTCACTCTTTTAAATACACAGAACATAATACAAAGCGTTGTGTACGCTTAAAGCATAAAAAAACCCCAAGAAGAAAACCCGCATATTGGCGCCAAAGTTGACGTAGATAAATTACGCATAAATACCTACTATGCATTTGAACTACTGCAGTTGCCACTTTCTGCCGCATTCCCAAAGTGCCAAATTAATTTTATATGTAGACATAAAATTAATTAACATATAATTGTTATTATGTTAAGTCATAATTTTAATTGTAACATTAAAATTAATTTCATTAATTTTATGTGTAGAACTAAAATTAATTGTAAAATAAAAATGATTGTCGTGTTATAAGTAAAAAATTGCAACTTAAAAAATAATAGAATAAAATAAAATAGTTTAAAAATCTTGTTAAAATTTTTTTAACTGTTTTTAGTCTCAGAATAATTCTAATATAAAATTCAAAGTAAAAAAATAAAGAACCTCATACGAAATAAAACCAAATTTAAATGACGCAAATATTAATTCTACCAACAAAATAATAGGTAAAATGTTCGTCGGGTAAAATATTTAAATGTTACAAAAAAATAAATCAATCAAATTAAAATGTATCATAAAAAATTATTATTATTATGCCTAGACATAATTTTAAATATTTATTATTATGCCTAGACATAACAATAATTCGCTATATGTTTCCATTAAATTTGAATTAAATTTATGCTTGACATAGTTTTATTTAATTATTATTATATCAAACATAATTCAAATTATAAAAAATTATATATTCCATAATTTTAAAAAACCTACTTAAATTTTCAAACGTTTTTGCACAAAATTTAATTTTTGGCAGATTTTCAGGCAAGGGAAAACTAAAATTAAATTTAATTTTTTTGTCCTCAAAAACCCCGAATATCAAGTTTTATGCAAAAACGTTTTTTTCCAGTTATTTATTAAAATGGAAAACGAACTTCCAACTTTGACAACTTTTGTATATAGAGGTAAATTTAGGTATATCGCATTATTTCAGTATCAGAAATATACAAAAAGTATATACAATATTGATTTCCTTTATGCTTTTTGGTCGAAAATTAAATCAACCAGAATAAAAATGGTCTTTAATAAATTTATTCAAAAACACACCACAAAATTTTAATCTAATAAAAAAATCATTCAATTTTAGTTATTGGTTTTTAATCATTTTATAAAACTCCCTAAAGAAGTATTTTTCTTCCGTAATAAATATAAACCTATTTATAAATATTAACATAAAATTTTATAGTTTTATATTTAATGGTATCACTAGAAAGTTATTTAAAATTTGGCAGGTGTTAAAGCAAGGCATCTTACTTTTAATTATCCTAATTTTTTCTATATTTCAATATCTCCACAATAGTGGCCAAATGATTAAACATTGGGATGTAAGTTATTTAGAATAAAAAGTATACTTTATATTAAAAAAAATATATTATCAATAAAGTTAAATCTAACAATGTTTTAGCATTTATTGGATAATAGTTTAAAGATTAAAGTTTAGCAGTTTAATGATGTTTTAACAGAAATTTACAAAGTTTTTTTTTTAAACTTAAAACAATTGGTAGTCAAAACATTTTTTAAATATAAAATACAACTGTAAAACTTAAGCTTAAAAATGTTGATTTTAGTTCAAATATGTAAATTTGTATAGAGTCATTTAAATGATAGTCGATAAATTTTTGATACAAAAATTATCTCTCACGTTACATTTAAATGTAAGTTTTAATTTGAAAGTGGTAATTTTTGGATTAAAAATGTATTTAAATGACTTTACAAATTCAAACCAAAACCTTTTATTTTTAAAATTTTTAAATTGATTTTGAATTCATTTTTAACAAAAAATTTAAAACTTAAATAATTTATAATTTAAATTTGTTAAAAATAAAAAGTTTTTGGTTTAATTTCTCAAGAGCCATTTAAATGATAGTCGATAAATTTTTAATCCAAAAATTACCACTTTAAAATTTAAAACTAACAGTTAAATGTAATGTGAGAATTTTTGTATTAAAAATGTATTGACTCTTTACAAAAATAAACCAATAATTTTGTAGAATAAAATATTAAAACTACAATTTTTAAAAACCAATATTTTAAACTTTTACATTTTGCAATTTTATAAAAAAATTATTTAGGATTTACAAAATTCTGCCCAAATAAATCATTTTTATTAAAAAATGATAGTACCTAAGAAATTTTTGCAAAAATTGATTGGAAATAATATTGTTTATTACAGAAGTGAACTGTTAGTTAGTAAATGTTTTTTTATTACATGATAGTTGAAAATATTTTAAATTTATAAATGTACTTAAACCTAAAATTTTTAGTTGGAAAATTATTTAATACATGTTAAAACGGCGTGCCATACAACTCAATAATGTGTTGTGGTTGTTAATAAATTTGTCAATAAGCATTTTAGAATAATGTAAACAAATAAAAATTATGTATATTGAAACACATTTAGATTGTCAAAATCACAATCTAGAATTTTAAAATATTGTAATAAATTTAATTTTAACTAAAATTTGTTTTTTAGCTGTGTGTGATATTGGAACCTATGCAGGAGCTGATGTCGCGACACAAGGCGTACGCGTTGAGTCCGCGGGACTGCCTGAAGACGACGCTTTTTCAAAAATGGCAGAGGATGGTGGCCCCGCCGGGTAAGAGAGGTACCACTTTTAATGCACTATAGGATTATTCGCTTTTGCTTTACCAACACGTCGACTCCGACTTTTTTTACGGTGTAAAAGTAATACAAGATAAAAAGTTCTCCGGTTGTTGATGATTTTATTAATAATTTGAAGTATTTTATAAACATTTATTACCGTTTTAAGGAACCTTGCAGAGGTACACATTAAGTTTTATATATTTTTTTAAATCTCATGTTTGATATTTTGGATAGCCGCCATTTCTAGTATTTTTTTAAATTGTAGTTTAGTGACTGGTTTCCAAATTGTCTCATATTTAACAATTATTTTTTACCACTGGATATTACATATATTGATTTTTTTTGTTTGAGCCTAAAATTTACAACATTTTTTTAATGACTACTTTTATATCAAAAACCTATATTTCTTCTGATATTGATATTGATATTCGATACGATATATCAAAAATATAATTTCAATCTGCCATCCCTACGCAGAATCGTTCTGTGGTTGAAACTGCAAATTTTGCAGTGCAAAACGTTTTATTACTTTTGTAACTACTAAAAACCTAGAAGAATGTAAATTGTTTTGTAATTAATGTTATATATTAAAATACTGAATACCTTTTGACATAAGGAATAAAGGAAAAATATTTAAAAAAAAATTTTCCAAAGATAAAGAAAAAATATGCATTTTTTATTTTTTTTGTGATACGCCACTGGTTACACACTTGGTTTATCTCTGCACACTTGTATTCTGTGAGTACATACATACCAACCAACAAATTAGCTACGCGTTGCCAGATGTAAAAAATTGTTACTAAAAATACTTCTTGCAAAAAATAAATAAAAACTCAATAAATACAAAAGTTTTATGCCCTTAAAGCTCTAATACCCTTCTGTATTTATTTACTCATCCAGCTATTAGCTTAAGCAATGATTAGAAAATAGAGTACCTATTTTAAAAAATTCATAACCACAAAATTAATTTTTTCATCAGTTTTTTTCTTTCTTTTTACTCAGATGAAATTGGGACCAGTTCACAGGTTAAACTTTAAACATTTAATTTGTGTAAATAAATCCAAAAGCACTTTCCTTACTTAAGATATTTACAATTTGAGCACATAACCTAAAATTTGAAAGAAATGCACTAGATTCTGTCATAAAAGTTGTCAGATTTTGTTTGAATTTACCTTCAGTACAAAAATGACATAACCAACAACTAATAAAAACGTCAACTTGACAATTCGCATTGTTAATTTTGTCATTTTTGTAATTAAGCTAAATTTAAACAATGTTTGTCAACTTTTTTGACAGATTTTGGAAACACTGTTGATACCAACCATAACATAATAAATTAAATTAGGCAACCAGATTAGCTTAAAGTTCCTAGTCGATCAGTGGCGTACTTTTTGGTAGTATAAAGGTTATTATAAATTATTTTTAGACTTTGGAATTTAGAAAAAAAAAGTTTCAGGTGCTTCTTTATGGACCCTAAGGAACAACCCATTTTAATTACAAAACACCCTGTATGTATTTTTCTATTTCTTCATGCTTCAGGGGTTTCAAGGTTTTTAGAAACGTACACAGTAACGTTTTTTTGTCAACCTGAAAAGTTCTATACAAAAAAACGTGCCGTATATTTTGCAGTATTAACGACTTCATGTTGATCGAACAAATTATGTATGTCCTTTTATAACAAAAGTGACATACATCAACGTCGTTATGTTGATGAAATATATTTATTCTAATATTAAGACAAAATTTTTGGATTACTATTTTTTGTGGTCTCTAGAGATGCATTACTTTTTAAAACATTTTACTGTAAACTGCACAAAAGATAAGAAAAAGTTTTCCTAAGGCCATTGTAAACATAAATTTTCCTTTGCAATGTAGTAAGCCACTAAAAAAGTTTGGCAACACTGGTAACCATTTAAATAAGGCATTTGGATATACAGGGTGTTTAAAAAAATAAGAAAAAACGGCAATAGTATATTATGTATCAAGTTTTATAAACGCCATTTTAGTTACGAGTTTTATTAAGCACGAGCGAAGCTTGCAAGCGAGTGTTTAATAAAAACGAGTGTCTAGATAAGTTTATAAAACGAGTTGCATACTGTACTTTATCTATGACGACCAAAAAGAAGAATTTAAATCCAATTTTATTTGTTAAACATTTGACATCTGTCAAATGTTAACGAAATTAACCTCACTTTTCTCTAATTTATAATAAAGCTAACTTGAGCCCGTAACTAAAATGCCCAAAAGCCACTGTTGTTAACTTTAGCCCGTGACTAAAACGCCATAAAGTCACAGCTCGTCAATTTAGGAGTAGATAAAATATCTTAAATATCGTTTGCCCGCTTTGTTGAAATTTGTCAACGTTATTTATATTGATAAGAAGCTAATAATATAAAAGAAGCTAAAATTATTTTGCTTTAACTAGAATAAAATTACCAAGTCCAGTGGCGTCCTGGAAGGCACCTTAATTAATGACAAACAAAATTTACGCCACTTTTTGTCTCTTGAATTGTTTTTGTATCTTATCTCGTTTTTGACAGAAAAAAACAGAACTACCTCTTATTATTTTTTTATAAATCGAGCCGTATTTGAGAAAATTGAGCAAACATACAGGGTGTTATGTAATTAATGTTATATATTAAAATACTGAATACCTTTTGACATAAGGAATAAAGGAAAAATATTTAAAAAAACATTTTTCCAAAGATAAAGAAAAAATATGCATTAGAAGTTTTTTATATTTTTTGTAATACGCCACTGGTTACACACTTGTTTATCTCTGCACACCTGTATTTTGTGAGTACATAGATACCAACCAACAAAGTAGCTATGCGTTGCCAGATGTAAAAAATTTTTCTTGCAAAAAATAAATAAAAACTCAATAAATACAAAAGTTTTATGCCCTTAAAGCTCTAATACCCTTCTGTATTTATTTACTGATCCAGCTATTAGCTTAAGCAATGATTAGAAAATTTAGTACCTTTGAAATTTGAAATCCATAACCACAAAATTAATTTTTTCATCAGTTTTTTTCTCTGTTTACTCAGATGAAATTGGGACCAGTTCACAGGTTAAACTTTAAACATTTAATTTGTGTAAATAAATCCAAAAGCACTTCCCTTAGTTAAGATATTTACAATTTGAAAACATAACCTAAAATTTAAAAGAAATGCACTAGATTCTGTCATAAAAGTTGGCAGATTTTGTTTGAATTTACCTTCAGTACAAAAATTAAATAACCAACAATTAATAAAAACGCCAAATTGACAATTTGCATTGTTAATTTTGTCATTTTTGTAATTAAGCTAAATTTAAACAATGTTTGTCAACTTTTTTGAGAGATTTTGGAAACACTGTTACCAACCATAACATAATAAATCCACCAGATTAACCTAAAGTTCCTAGTCGATCAGTGGCGTACTTTTTGGTAGGATAAAGGTTATTATAAATTATTTTTAGATTTTGGAATTTAGAAAAAAAAAGTTTCAGGTGCTTCTTTATGGACCCTAAGGAACAACCCATTTTAATATATAACATTAATTACATAACACCCTGTATAAATAACGTTGCCAAATTTCAACACATATTTAAGATATTAAAAAAGCCGTTTTTGGGTGACAAATCTTCAAGCGTATCTTTTTTGAAACACCCTGTATGTAAACGTTAAAATATGGTATTTTTACGGTTTTCCAAAGTATTTTTCTATTTTTTTGTTGTTTAATATCATTAAAATGTCAAAACCGTTTAACTTAACTAATCACTGAGTATAGCAAAAACGAAACAATTCTGACTACAAGGTTTACTCGCACATTGAGTTCAATAAATCGAAACTTAACGAATTGTCTTTATTTAATTAATTTGTTTTTTTTTAATGTTTTGTTACGCGTACAGAGTCGCAAAGGCCTGCCAACAAACGGCGGAAACGTAAAGGATCGAATTCAGGCGGGGCAGCAAATAATGCCACTCCGGCCCCCAACAAGAAACGGTCGCCGGGACCAAATTTTTCCTTAGCCTCCCAGGTAAGATATAACAGTACAGTGTATACAGCAGTTTTCGTGGTGATAATCCCGAACCAGTTCGGACATCCTAGGCATGCGCATTTTAAAATATGTCATGTGCATTTTGGATTATGGGGGCCCATTAGAGTGTCTCAAAAAAAAGACTATTTTTTTTTCAAAGAACATTGAAAAATCGCCAGAGTATCTCTAGAAAACGACCCTAAGAAAATATGAGCTCTTAATATTAATATTTAGAGGTGGCGTTTTGTAATTTTCTATTTCCCATTTACATGAGAATTTTTTTTTCAAACTTTGAATTTTTGTATTGTGATAACGAGCTACTTCATAAGTAAGACAAAATTACCCCTTATAGGAAATTTAATGCTCTACAAAAACGTTTTACAATTTGCCCAAGTCAAGTCGTTTCAAAGATATCAAGCCTCAAACTTCAGACTGTTTAAAATTATGGTTTTTTTCTTAAATACAAAAAAATCAATTTATATGTATTAAAAACCCAAAATTATTAACTTAAGAATAAATATATGCATATATTTAATGGAATGCAGATCCAAAATTCGTAATAATTGTACAAATGATAATTTTTATTGATTTTTAGCGAAAAATATTTACTTACCTAAAAAATATGGAAGAAGTTTATTATAAATTATCATTATATTCTCAAGTTAATAATTTTGGGTTTTTAATACATATAAATAGATTTTTTTGTATTTAAGAAAAAAAAGCATAATTTTAAACAATCTAAAGTTTGAGGCTCAATATCTTTGAAACGGATTGACTTAGGCAAATTGTAAATCAGACCGTTTTTGTAGAGCATTAAATTTCCTTTAAGGGGTAATTTTTTCTTACTTATGAAGTAGCTCATTATCACGTTACAAAAATCCAAAGTTTGGAAAAAAAATTCCCATGTTATTTAAATGGGAAATAGAAAATTACAAAACGCCACCTCTAAATATTAATATTAAGAGCTCATATTTTCACAGGGTCCTTTTCTAGAGATACTCTGACGATTTTTCAATGTTCTTTGAAAAAAAAAATAGTCGGTTTTTTTGAGACACTCTAGGGCCCATAACAATTTTCAGCGGGGTAGGCACCCACCATTTTGCCCAATCATATCTTATTTTTGCGATATTGTGAGAAAACCGTACTTTTTTATATGCAAACATTTAAATTCAGGATCATTGGTAAAACATGCTTTTAACGAAATAAAATCTTTTTTTAACCAAAATTTTACAATTTTTTAATTAATTTAAGTGCTGCCACGCGAACAATTTTTGTCTGATTTTAACGAAATTTTGTAGCTTTATTGTCTTAAAATTATACTAAACGTAATCAAATAAAAATATTAGAAATGACACTTAAATCAACCGCGCGTGTCAACATTGGTAGTTGTGGTCATTTCTACTCCTTAAAAAAATTTGTGAAAAAGTAATTAATAAATTGTTTAATTATCTATTTCTTAAAAAAAAATCATGTTTACCATTTGTTTTAGCAGTGATTTAGGCAAGGACGTTTTGTACAATTTTTAAAACATTTTTTTAAACAGTTTCATTGTTTCTTGTTTTAAAACTCCCATAAAAACATATTTCAACAGAATTTATTTTGGCAATTTTTATTTAATTGCGTGGAAATTTTAACAGAATAAAGTAGATACTTAAAACCTAAAAATGTTGAAAATTTCGTTAAAATCGGACAAACATTGTTTGCTATATTGTTTGTTATATTTTGAAAATTGTCGAAATTTGGATAAAATAAGATTTTATTCCGTTAAAAAATGATTTTTGATGGGGGAATACTTTATAAATGTAAAATTTATTTTTTTTAATATGCGAATTTGAATGTACCAATATTTTGCAGATAAATTATAGTTTTATGTTATAAAACTACATTTTTGTTATAAACCCTAAATTTCCATAAAAATAATAAAATTTTGAAAAAATAAAAGACTTATTCTCACAAAAACGCATTCTTTAACTATAAAATTGATTTTATGAATAGAATTGGCTTAAAATTGCCTTTCAGAAGGAGAAAACCAGTTTTTTTAATAAAATTAACAAAAAAAGTTATGGCAAAGATTTTTTTTTAATTCTTATTTTATATTATAAAATTATTGTATTAAAAAACAAATTTTTAGGTTTTAAAAAAGACGGATGACGTTCATAATATCGAAATTCACTTTATCGAATTCAAAATATCGAACACTTTTTATCGAAAATCAAAAATATCGAAAATACAAAATGTCGAAAATCAAAATATCGAAAATTCAAAATGTCGAAATAAAAATATCGAAATTTTATTTAATCGAATTTTCAATTTATCGAAAATAAAATCTCGACCGCTGTCATACAGGTTATGACAATAGCTGTCATCTTGGTTATGCAGGTACACTGCATTGTGCCATACCAAACCAACCCAAACTTAACAACCCAACCGACCCCGCCCCATTGGGCCCCTCCTGCCCCATTGAGCAATAGAGGTATAATATATCTAAGGGCAGGCTGGATTGTGACAATGGGGCGGGAGGGGCCCAATGGGGCGGGGTCGGTTGGGTTGGGTTGTTAAGTTTGGGTTAGTTTGGTATGGCACAATGCAGTGTACCTGCATAACCAAAATGACAGCTATTCGTCATAACCTTAAGGAATACTTTGCTACATTTAGCCTCTAGTTGAAAATGAGGTTAAAATATGCGACGGTTGAGCACACACATTTCTACGTCCGTCCGACGGTCGAGCACACACTTTTCTACGTCCATCCGACGGTCGGGGAGACACTACCTTTAATTATTCGACATTTTCAAATCGACATTTTAATTTTCGATATTATCATTTTCGACATTTAAACGAACTAATTTTGTCCGCAGGACGTGATGGTGGTGGGTGAGCCGTCGCTGATGGGCGGCGAATTCGGCGACGAAGACGAACGGCTGATCACCCGATTGGAAAACACGCAGTACGACGCGGCAAACTCGCTGGACCACGACAACCACGGCTTCCACGCCGACTCGCCGATGGCGGGCTCGAACTCGTGGGGAGGCGGCGACAGGGGCGGCCCCTCGCAAGCCAACACGCCCTCCAACCAGGACTCCGACAAAAAATCACCAGCAGTGAACCAGTGATGATAGTTAATTTATAAACCTAGAATCTCTTTCTGTCTCTTCATCTAACCCTCTCTCTCTCCCTCTCTTAGACCATGGCCCATTCATTTTGGACATTTAGGGCACGAAACTGAGGAAAAATCAAAACAAGATTTCCCCTTTTATAGACAGCTTGAGAAAAGTTACAAAAGCTTGAATTTTGCGACTAGTTTCTATAAAAAATGATCTCTATAGAAAGTAATAAATCGATTTTCTATGGAGATCATTTTCTACAGAAAGTGAAGTCGCAAATTTCGGGAAACGTACAATTCACATAAAAGGAATCTAGTTTTAATTTATCAATAGAAGTAACCTAAAAATGACGGTGCCATATCTCTCTCCAAGTCAGTATTCTTTCGTTTAAGTGCAAAAATGAAACCAGTGACAAATTATCATTATTATTATTATTATATTTAATATTATTAACGGCCGTAGGCACCAAAGGATAGTAACGATTTGTACAAACAAAATATGTTTGGGACATCTTACACGTTTTTAGGTTAAGTTTAACACAAAAGTTCACTTAGGATTGACAAAGGAAGTAAAAATGCAGTTTTTTATTTCTATGAAAAAAAAAAAGTCTGGGAACACTAAATATTTATTAAGTTCTAAATTTTGGGAAATAGTCGATTTTTATTGCGATAAACACAATTTTACGATTAATTTTAAATTAAAAAGTGATACTTTTATTTTATAAAATTGATGTTTAAAAAAAAAATTTTTTTGGGCTTTAAAACTCATTTTTGCAATAAAACTTTAATTACAACATCTTACAATCTTGTTATCAACGTTTTATTGCAAAATTACTTTTTTTTGAAAAATATTAATTTTATAACATTTTGGGTAATTTTTATACTATTTTTTCGTAAAAATGTTTTTATTAGGGCGGTCCTTATAAAGGTCATTTTTGAATTTTTATAAGTGGTAATAATTGATCAAAAAATTTAATAAAATTGGCCACAAATCCATTGATGTATTGATGCATTGGAAAAACACTTGGAAAGATATTTTCTTACATCTAGACCATCGGAAACTTTGCCATTTAGCCCAGTCAAGTTTTATTTAGGTAAGATTTTTTATGTGGGCGCCAGTATTAATGTCTCAAAAGTCCCAAGCGTTGCCAAATATCAGAGGTCAAAGGTTTTCTTTATTATATCGCAAACAATTGATTTTACGTCAAATTTTGTAAAAATAAAATCCGTTTTTTTCGTTTTTTTTGAAGGCCTTGGAAAATTTGGCTTTTTTGGGAAACATTGATTTTTTTTGTTGAAAATATACACATCTTAAAAAAAAAACAACATCTTAACATTATTAAAAATATCCTTTATTACAGAAAAAACCTAAATTAAATTGATTTAAGAAAATAAAAGTAAACGTTTTGCAAAAAGAAGTCCAATAAAAATATCCAAATACAAAATAATGAATTAAAGTTAAAATTACAAAATTATAATTTTATAAATCGTGTAAGTCTCAAATAAAATTAAAGTTCTGTTAAGTATACACCAAATATGTTCTTTTTGCGGCCCGGTAGAAAAAATAGAATCTTACTGAATTAAAATAAAAGGAATAATTATTATGTTTATCCTAATATTATTTGATTATATTCAGTGTCGGAAATTCACTTTTTTCGAAATAATTTGGAAAATTAAAAAAAAATTACTTTTGCATTACCTTTTGAATAAAATGAAAAATGCAAAAGACAATTTTTCTGAAAATTTCACAGTTTTTCCGTTATCCTACCTGGGATTTTTATCCAAGTTAAACTATCATTTGACTAGGCTAAATAGCAGGAAAGTGCATACAAAATTTTCCAATGCACTCTTTCATACATCTGGTAAATTATTTTTTTTATCAGTTATTACCAAAGTTATAAAAACTTGCGTGTTATATATAAAATAAAAACTTATTTCATATGGGTCGGATTAAGAGTTTAACTTAGTCCAAAAAATCACTTTTGCAGTTCAAAAAGGCATTTTTGTGAGAATTACCGACTTTTTACAAACATCCAAAATTATAAATCTAGAAGCTTTTGGCTTTATTAATCCAAGTTTAACGAAGAAATATCAGAACTGTCAAAAACATGCGACGGTTTTACTTGACCTAAGTAAACTTAAAACTAAACAGTGTTGCCAGGTGCCTCAAAACTTCCTATGCTTTCTGCGTGCGGCCTAGTGCGACATTTTAAAGGAGTGAGATAAAACAAGGAAACTTTTGGTCACGTAGGTTGTCATGCAATCACTAAAGGGACCATACAATTGGTTGCAATAAAATAGTGCAACGTAGTAGAAAAAAAACAAGCGTTAGTGTTGGCACAACAAGCTCGCGACCGTCCGCATTGTTGCATCGTTCCCGTGCAATCTGAAAACGAAATTGTGGAACCTCTACCATAGGTACCTCTATAGAGCGAATGTTTATGGTTCTCGATGAAAAAAAAAAGGCAGCTCATTTGTACAGTTAGCAGAAGTAACATCACAGCTCTTTTTATGTTTTATATTCTGGCACCATTATTTTATCTCATTGGCCAAAAAAACGGAGTTTAATATAAACGGTCCGGGAACCTTGTTAAAATCTCATGCCAACCCCAATTTTTTATTTAACGAAAATTTTTATGTGTACATAGGTACTGCAAAAGTTGTTTTAGTTCAGTATTTTAACATCAGTGTGTAGTCAGATGGGGTGGTTAAATTCTTTAACGCATACTTCTTAGTTTTCATTGCATTTATGGTTCACAAGATGTTCAGCTTTCTATTTGTTGAAATTAACGCATAATAAGTAAAAAATTCCTCTCTAAAACGCCTTTACCAATATTTATGAAATTGTGTGTAAACATACTTCAACTTAAAGGGAATTTTTTTTTAAGTAAATAAAAGTATGCTGTTATAGACCGTATTTTTGTTAGTATACCCTGAAAATCTTTTACAAATCAAAGGAACAGTAACGAAGATACAGCGCTTCAAAGTCGGTAAAAATGACCCCTTTTTGATTATTTTTCTGAAAAGTGGTCATTTTTGACGACTTTAAAGCGCTGTATTATCTTTACTGTTCGTTTGATTTCTACAACAGGGTATACTAACAAAAATACGGTCTTTCACAGCATATTTTTTACTTACTTAAATTCCCTATAAAAGTTTTTTTTCGAGCGTTTTTTATTATTGAACAGTGAACAGAGATATAAGTTAAAGAATTTTTATCCAAAAAGGCGTTTTAGAGTTGGATTTTTTTTACTTGTTATGCGTTAATTTTGACGCGCAGTGTATATTACAAAGCTGAAAAATCTTCGTTTTTAAACTGCATTAAAAAAATAACTACTCCATTTCATGTTTGGTTGATGAAATCAACCGAATTGTAAATATAATGTATTTTATTGGGAGGTTGAAGTATGAGATTTTTTAATTAATATTTTAACTTATATGTTGTTTGTGAAAAAGAAAAACCGCAAAGGTTATGGTCAAAAGTGATATGTTTAAATTTTAAATTTTATGAAATCTTACATACATTTTTGATTCCGCAACCTTTTGATGGAGTTTAAAATATCATATTTAGAAGCATTAAAAAACAAAGGTGTTTGTAAAGTTGGACGCTTTCTTCTTGGCTTGATACTTAAAATATCTTGTATTTATTTTGATTATGTATCCATGTAATTCCTATTAATAATAAAGCTTTTTGTTCCTAAGGATTAAGTAAAGTATCGACTCATTGGGAAAGTCACCTCCAGTTTTACCAAAACGATTGTTTGCAATAGTGAATCACTTATGTCAGGAAATGTAACCCTGCATTAGGATCAATTTTGTATAGTGAAGATAAATTTTAATTAAAAACATACATAAATGTATGTACTTAAAAAATAAGTTACATCCTTCGATGATGTATTTTAAACAAGTGGCTGCTGCATAAAGTTCGTTTTCTTATTAACTTGTTTATGGATGAATGTTATTTCTGTATTGGTGTCAGAATGAACGGTTTAATGTATCAAGTAATTAAATAAATAATAAAAAAACATTATTGAACTGCAGATATTTTAACTCAGTCCGTTTCCGACTGTGTAAGTGTATTTTTACAGCTCATTTGTCAGTAGTTGTGTGTGTCTTCTTGGTCAATTTTGGTTGTTTGGTTAATTTCAATTTGTAATCTTTTTTGTAAGGTGACGCCGAAATGGCGAAACTCTTGCAACAACCTCACAATACAACACTTACAAATATAATCTGTTTTATTTATTTTGGCTTTCAATCACCTTACCCCCCATCCTACCATTTACTCTGGATTAAATCGTTGGTAAGTAAAAATAATAATATTCATGCTTTAATTTGATCCAACAGTACAGTATTACATGAGGAGAAATTTAAATCTTTTGTTTTTCCAATATTCACGGCTTCTTCAACTGTTTCTGGAAGCTTAGTGTTGAGAGTTTCCGGTAAATACAATGATAAGACTCCTGAAGTTCCGGCCAGTATAGCGAAAATAAATAGTGGCAGTGATTTTGATATCCTAGCCTAAAAATAATAACACGGTGGTAGTTAAAATTCATTGTCGCTATTTTTTGGCCTGCTGAACTCAAAAATCACAATAACATTTTTTTCGAGATTTGATTTTTTTTTCATTTGTCTCGAATTGGAAACGACCAACCTGGTTGAAAAAATCAAATCGCCGACCTATATCACTCTTAATGCCCAATAAGTTGGACAAAAATAAGAATGCAAAGTATACGCTAAAGAAGCATTGTAACCAAACTACAACTTTAAACAATCAGTTTTCAAACGCGTATGTTTTAAACGAGTTTTTTGGGAATAAGGCGGGAAAATGTTAAAAACATTGAAAAAATACGTGGAACGATTTGTTGTGTTGTTAAGTGTTTTTTGAGGAAATCCTGGGTTGAGTTACTCCCAATAAACAGTGGAAATCCGAATAAATAAATAAATTGCATACAGACCCTGTAAATATAAATTGTACCTATTAGATTCACCCTAATAAATACACATTTTAGTAATGAGTAGTAAATATATTTTTTGGAAAAACCAAAAGGCTATCGACCGAAGTCTTTCTGCCTTTTTAGTAATGATTTACGTGAAAATTGTAAACATTTCAATTCAGTAAAAATCATATAATAAATAAGTCGTCTAAATTCAAACACCGTTATGCATTATAAAAAGCGTTGATTGAGAAAGTCAACGGGTATTAAAAGGGTATTATATATAATGTTGCCATGAACTCGTAGATATATTTTGTCGTTTAATATTTTAAAATGTTTTTATTTACAAAATAACATTGTTTTATTATATTTCTAATGTCAAATTTTTATAAATACTATAATAGTTCTATTATACTTATAATAGTTCTAAACAAAAGTTGTTTAACAAGGTTTTTATTTGGCAAAATTAGGTATCATGGTTGACTGTTTAATTCCTTAAAAATTAGTTTTTTTATTCAAAAACCCTACTAGTACTGTTTTTGAAAAAAAAAACTTGGAACTGTCCCATCCTTTACGCGTGGAATGGCCGATAACTATTTTTTTAAATTTTTTTAAAATGTACATGGACAAACTTATAAAAAATATTAGGTAAACTTATCATTAGTCCCAAGCAGCAAAGAGTGACACATTTTGGGCAATGTGTCGACACAGCGTCGAAAGATGATTTTGGACACATTTTAAAGACACATAGTCCACTTTAAGACCACTAAGTGTGGAAAATGAGACCAAAGTGGTGATGAAAGTTGTACCAAAAAGTGTCCATAGTTTGCCCACAAAATGTGCCCGATTTTTTCTTAAAATTTGCCCACAATGTGCCCGGTAGTGTGACCGATTTATGCCCAAAGAGTTTCTAATTTGTATGTTACCAAATGGTCACCATTTGTTCCGAGTTGTTGCTAAGTACTGTATTGTGTCCTAAAATAAACCCAAATGGACACTAACTACTTTTAATTGGAAACGAATTGGAAACAAACTAGATACAAAGAGGCAAAGTAAGGCGTGATGTCTTATTAATAATTATGTATATAATATAATATTATGAAATACATTATAACTTAAATCTAACATTTTTGGTATATGTTACCTTCATTTTTATTGCGAATAAAATTTTATTGGTGATTATAAGCAAAATACTTTTAAAAATTGATAGGGCCTCACAAATAATAAGTATTTATAATTTTTTTTATTCAAAATATTTTTTTTTCCTATATTTATATCAAAACTAGACGTATGTGCCTTCTATGTAACTTAAAACTTTGCATTTTTTAAATTTTAAGTTTAAATTTCACCAGAAAGTTAAATTATGTAAAAAAATTAAAGCGTCGTATCTGTTTCAACAAAAAAATATGGCGAATTACACAATGTGTCCCTTTGGAACCTAATGCGCCCGCCCCACACATTTTTGAAACAAATCAGACACCATGAATCTAAAATGCAGCTAAATGGAAACTTTTGCGTCCAATTTGGTAATAAAATGAAAACAGATTGATAAGGTACAATATGGAAACATTGAGTCGACTAAGTGTCAACCCTAATGAGTCTAAATTGTGTTACTGTTTCCAAGAGGGCACAAAAGCGACGCAACTTGGGCACATATTTCTGAAATAATGCTACTTAGACCCATACTTTTTTTGGACACAATTGGTTTAAAAGGTGTCGACCCAAAGCAACCACAAATTTGAAGAATTGACACAGTTTCCATTTAGACATAAGTTTTCCGATTTGTGTCGAAACAATTTGGAAACAAAAAGTGTCTTGCCCAAGTTCGGACACAAATTGCTGCTTGGGGTTAATTCTGCACCAAAAAATATACGAACCGAATTATTTGCAAAACATGAAAATGTTACGATTTAGTTCTTGAATCACATTTAAAATTAAAAACACAATAATTCACCATAATCACTTACATAAAATACACACACTAACGTATCTATATAGGCATATAAGAGTTTCTTAATCAATGATATAAGGAATAATACATCGAAATCGAGTGCTAAACCAAAGTTTTGCAGTTTTTACTTGCAACGCGAAACACAATTGAAACTTTGCGAACAAAATTTGTCGAGTAATATCCTCTCTTTAGTGAAAAAACTGCTTATTTATTTAAAAATGATGTGCAGTTCGTATGTTTTGAATGTATTGTTGACAAACCTTGTAGTTTAATAATGCTATCGAGCGCCACCAGATGGCGCACGCGTTGCGAAAACCCGATGCTTCTTTAGCGTATATTGTATTTTAATACAATACATTTACAATCCAATTCGAGAAAAAAGTTTTTGTCGTTGATATAATTACTGGGATTTTTTTCAAATTTTGATTTTGACCGTGTGATGTCAATGTCGATATGCTAATTTCTTTTATTTTTAACACTTCTTTGTCAGCGATTCGATTATGTTTAATTTAACATTTTGCAGCCAGATTGGCCGTTTCTAACTCGAGAAATGAAAAACAAATGAAAAGAAATAAAAAATCAAATGTCCTCTTGATTTTGGAGTTTAAAAGGCCAAATTCAAATTTATTTTTCATTCTTGAAACCATACAGAACATGTCAAATTAGAAAAATAGAAATCCATCTACTTTATAAAGTAGATGGATTTCTATTTTTATAATTTGACATGTTCTGTACCTATACGTACATACATACATACATAGGTACATAAAGTGTATCAGTTAAAACAATAATAAATTAAGTAATACTAAAATTAAATAAAAATATTTATTTTTCATTAATTTGAAAACCAGTGTTATTAATTAACATTATTGACGTAAAAGCTATATGGGCGAAATTTTAAATCTCAATCGTTTTTTGATATGTATACAGGGTGGCGCGTTTGGTTATGACGTATTTCAAATGGTTCTCAAACTGTTAATTTTGAAGATACAATGGCCAAATAAATTTTATAATGAAAAATAATAATGGAAATTTATTTAAAAACTTGGTATAGCTTAATTGGTCCAAGTGTTCTGGTCGCCTCACATCATAAAGAACTAATATTTCCTTTTAAAATCATGGTTGTTCAGAAGCTGCTTCCAACAGATTAACAATAAAGGCTTCAACAGTTTAGGTAGCGGATATTTCGGAAGAAAAAACGTATTTCTCATGATGGTTGTCGCACTTTTTTTAATAAATTTCTATTACTCTTCATTTTAAAACTTATTTGCCGCTATATCTTCAAAATTTACAATTTGGAATACGTGAAATTCAAACGAGCCACGATGTACCATATACAAAATTCAATTTTTGTATTTTGATTTTTAGCTAGAATGGGTTTTTAGAAAAAATTACAAGTAATAGCTATGTAATCAACATTAAGTAATCTGTATGTACACTAACAAAACGTATGTCTCAACTATTTTATTGGGGTGCATTGAAATAAACTTTGCTTACCTATATTGTAAATAGCTATTTACATACCATGGGAGGAAAATATTGCATTTCCTCCCGCGAATAGTTTGATGCCCGACGCGAAGCGAAGGGCATTAAATATTCAAGGGAGGAAATGCATTTTCCTCCTGAGGTATGTATATAGTTTTTTCTATTACCTTTTAACGGTTTTAAGACATTTTAAGCGTTCCGGTTCCTTTTACTTACCCGGTATGGGGTTATAAAATTATGACAAAATATTAAGTAGGTTTTGCGTCGCCGACGTTCTGTTGACAACGCTTTGTTGCTATGGTATTTTTGGTAATACCAACATAACAGTTTTTATAAGCTGTCATAATGTTTATCATAAATTTAATAGTTAATATGAATATAGTTTGTTAAAAGAATGTTAAAAGAATGGTTGGACAAGCGCGGAGTAAATCTTTTTCCTACAAAATCAAATAAGGCTAGACAAGGTACAAAAACTCTTGCCAATGTAAAATTTTTTAAAAAATAGAGGGAGGAAATTTTTTTTCCTCCCGGGGAGGAAAAGAAGCATTTTCCTCCCTCGCTAGGGGGTGGAAATAGCTATTTACATACCATAGGAGGAAAATAATGCTTTTCCTCCCGTGAATAGTTTGATGCCCGACGCGAAGCGAAGGGCATTAAATATTCAAGGGAGGAAACGCATTTTCCTCCTGAGGTATGTATATGGTTTTTTCTATTACCTTTTAACGGTTTTAAAGACATTTTAAGGGTTATTTTTACTAATCCGGTATTAATTATTATGACAAAATATTAAGTAGGTTTTGCGTCGCCGACGTTGTGTTGACAACGCTTTGTTGCTATGGTATTTTTGGTAAAACAAACATAACAGTTTTTATAAGCTGTCAGGTTATCATAAATTTGAAATTCTTCCTACGTTTTAAAAATGAGTTTTTTAGCGAAGAAGACCTGCCGCAAGATCTTGCTGGAGGCAAGAGTAGTTTAAATTAATCTTCTTCCTCAAAAATCGAAAAAGCGATATAAAAAGGAATGTACCTAGTCATGTGTTTTTTTTGTAACGTTGACACTGCTAAAACACTAAACTAAACAAAGAATGGTTGAACAAGCGCGGAGTAAATCTTTTTCGTACAAAATCAAATAAGGCTAGACAAGGT